TGGCTTATTTATACCCAACTCGTCAATATTAGTCAATATTTTCTCTTTTAAGCCAAAACTGCAATAATGCACGATATAGCGAATTCCAACGGGTTATCACTGGCCTTTTCAAACTCTGACCAAGAACTTCTTTTAGTTTTTCATATTTTTTTGGAGAAAGTTGCAAATTCCATAGCTCATTACAACGTTCAAACATCATCTGAGTGTAAGCTGAATTCAATTCTTTTGATGATTTTATGAGCGAAATTACGTCACTTGTAGCCAGAAGATTCAAAGTATGGCTAGCACAACGAAAATGCTGTGGTAATATTTCTTCTGAATGATTATTAGGTTTCTCTTCAAATAATTCGAGTTCAGCATGCTCTTCGTTTTCTAATTTTGTCTCAAAGTTAGTACCGACCTCTTCGTCATCAAAAATTTCTTCTGTAAATGTCAAAACATAAAATATTCAACTAAATGAAATAGAGAAGAAAATTATAATTCTACTAGTGTATAAAAAAGAGAATAGATATATTCTTATAAAATGCATGGAAAATATTTTGTAATCAATAAATCAGTCATTGTCATTTCTTTTAATTAAAATAAAAAATACACATTATTAATGGTCAAATTATAACCAAATAATGAGTAAATTATAAAAAAATTTTAAATAAAATTTTTTAAATTGTAAAAAGTCAAGTGTAAGCTTACATAAGTTTGTCGAAATTTTTCAATGTAAAGGTACAGCAAGCAAAATTAAGTATTGAGATCTAATTTTAGAGGGAGGAGGGATACATTTATCTATAAAGACTATAATCAATTATAAATGTAGACATTTTAATATTTACCGGAAAAAATGAGTCACTTAAATTGACTCCAAATTCGCGAAACGCTTTCACGAAATTCGATCCGTTGTCTGTTACTGTGGCAATTATTTTATTCTTATTAATTCCAAATGAAGTATGGATATCTTCAATCAAACGAGCGACTCTATCGTATGAATGTGTGCCACTGAATCTTCGACATGCTATTGCATATGATTTACGTTCCATCGTTTGCTTGCCAATCTTTAAACCAATTAATAAAAATTTATAAAATCTCATAATAAAAATTATAAAATGACATAATATATAAATTTAAAAATTTTTTTTAAAACAGCAAAAGTAATAAAGAACTAAAGTTATTTATCTTACCCAATGAACAGTCATTCCTAAAAATCGTCGACTTTGACAAGACCACACATCTGCTGTCGTACAAACGTGTTCAGTTTCACTAATCATTTTTTTGATAGAAGAAATGTTCTCTTTAAATGTTTCGTGTATCCTACGTTCGACAGTTCGAGCAGATAGATGAGTAAGACGTTTGCCACCTTTTTTAATTTCCATATCTATAAAAAATTATAACTATAAATTCTATTTATTAGTTAATTCTCGAAATAATAATTTGTAAGAATCAATTACCATCAAATATTTTTCTAAATGATTTCGAGTCCACAATGCTGAAAGGAACGATGTTTTCTAGGATGTAATTTATCACGTTTTCCTCAAAGGAAAAAAAAAGGAAAAAACTGTGCCTGAGAAAAATGGCAGTACGTCTTATACTGCTCGGCTTCATGAATAACTTTTATCTTTTTTTGTTGAGCATATTCTTCATATTCGTCACGCTTGTGTTTGTGAACTTTCTAAAAGGAAGTATAAAATTGTTACAAAAATTAAATCTTGCAATTATAAACACTTTTTATTGGTATTTTTTATACGGCATCAATAAATTTAATAAATCAGTATTTTAAAAAAGTATCAATAATTTTTGTTACAATTTACCAAAGATAATGGAACAAAAAACTATAATTTTCAAGCTTACAATATTAATTTACTGTTTTAAGACAAAAAGCCATATATTGTTAAAATTGTAATTAAGAAAAGTGTGAATGAGTTTATTTTTTACCGTTAACACCCATAAAATTCCCACTACTGTGATTGTATATCTTTAATTCGTCTGGCAATATTCAATAAAAAAAAAAACATATTGGTTATGCATATCATTATTGCGTTATAATTCACGAAATTGTAAAATATACGAATATTTAAAGACGTATTAAAGATATTTCAAAGTTTTTCTGCGTAACTAACGTCAAGTTAGAAACGTTAAAAATTATTTATAGCAAGAATTATCTGAATAAAAGACAAATATGAATATGGACACATAAAATAAAAATTCACAATTGTTTGTTTATAATTATTATTATGATTAAATTATAATTGCTGTGTTGGGATAAAGTAAAGCGTGCAAAGCACGTATAATTCATCTCGTAGTATAAAAAAGTAAAAGTATAAAGCAAAATTTTTACCTTAATGTGTGACACGTAGTTCGAGGGAATCTTCAGTGAACCGTTGGTGGTATGAAATTTATTATTTTCTTTCTTACATAATTGGCATATGCCAACTATCGTGCCAATGAGAGATGATTTGTATAAATCAGGTGAAAAGTATGTACCATCAAGGTACGCACGACGATTGCACTCTTTTAATAATTCTCTTTTAATTTTCTCTACATTTTGCACAACACCTAATACTACTGGAGTCTCTCTAACTTCTTCTCTAATTTCTTGGTTAGAAAAATCCTGGTTCGAGGTTATCAGGTTTTCGTCCCTCGACATTTTAGATATAGCTCTACACAAACAATCGTACACAGTTGGAAAATTTGTGTTAAATATAACATAAATCACATGTCCAAAACAGTCCACTCAAATTTTTGTGTTAATTTAACATAATATGCATGTGTTAAATGGTAACATTGATATTATGTTAATATTTCAACAGAAAAAAAATGTAATTTTGATCGTAATTTGAAGTTAATTGTGTGTACAAATAACATAACTTTTATGTTGAAAATAACATATAAGAAATGTTCTTTTTACATTTTACAAATGTAACAACTCAAACTTTTGATTAGTATAATGTGTAAAAGTTACACAGTTTATTTGTTAAAAGTTTATTTTTTAACAAAAGATTTATGTTAACGTAACATTTTATTTTTGTTAAGTGTAAATATAAAAAAATGTTATTTTTACATTCTAAAAATGTTAATTTTTTATTAATATACATTAGGGTAATTCAAAAAAACTTTTTTTTAATTTTTCGCGACGCACCCCAAAATATCAAAACTTATCTAAAAAAAGAATTTTCTTCAAAAATTTTTTTAGGTAAGCTTTGATATTTTGGGGTGCGTCGCGAAAAATAAAAAAGAAGGTTTTTTTTATTTTTTTTAATCACCCTAATATACATACAGGGTATTGATAAAACTCGGATATATATGAGTGTGTGTGTGTGTGTGCAAGGTGTTTCATTTTAAATGGCAATTTCAAATATCTCTTTAACAATACATTTAAAAATTCAGA